ACTACTACTGTACATAACATTATTAACACACGTTAATATCTTGTATTTCCACCCTTTGTTTTGGTCACAGCTTCCGGCATGCTCTGTATACATCATATGCTTTATATCTTCGTTATTTTCCCAAATATCTGTAATTCTTTTCAACTCAGATAATGTGGTTGGAGAGTTGTAAACTAGTCTTTTGAGTAGGCAGACATTTTCTATGGCATTCAAATTTCACCTCTAGCGCTATACTCGAGCCGAACGTAAACGCACGGCCCTTAATCGCTCATCACCCACACAATTTATTATCACGATAGTAACAAATTGCTATGTATATAGTTATCGACGTATTTAGTAATTTTGCATGACTTAAGACAATTTTCCATATGTGACATAATGTTATAGCCATAACATTACAAGTCCCATAGCAGCTTAATTTTTTGTAATCTTTTGAATAATTCTTACTTAAAATATTTTTATTAAATTAGTTTACTAATGTAACTTAAGTTTTGTCTCAAGAAATGTATTTATATATTTATGTACTTATATGTATTCAATTTTCTTGACAATAAAGTCATATTCGAACAAATTTTATTCCACATTTTTTACTTATTTTTCCACAATTATTAAATCGTTCACCTTTTAACAAAGGTATAGTTCTTTAATGAATCGCTCTATTTTCTGGATATGGTTACCATTATTATCTGTAATTAACCATTTCATCGATTTCGGCATTACTGGTCGCCCACTATAACCGTGGAATCCGATCAAACAAATACATAATTTCCGACCGATCTACCTAATTTAATATTCAATATTTACTAACGCTGAATTTACTAAAATTCAACATTTACTTTTGTAACGTTTAATAGACCCTTTTACATTCGAAATAACTTCTAAACTTTAACGCTAAAACTTAAAATGATAGATCTTCGAATTCCTTATTTTAAACTTCAGTTTCTCCGTTTACAAGAAAAATATAATGTTGCAAATTTAAACACGCTCCGCAGTTTTACGATCACTTAGAAGGAAGTTATTAATTAAAAAGAGCGATGAAGAGTTTCATTGCATGAATCTTATTAAAAGAAGTAGATAGACATTCTTACAAGAAGGAAAGTTGACAGTATTTTTAATATCAAAAGTAGCACAAAATGAAAGATTAACATCTGATATTAGCTAAAAACTTATGTCATTTTTGTCAGTAGATAACACTCATTTATTTATTCGCAAAGTATATCCTTTTATACAAAAGTAAAAATAATGCAGATGAAGATGAAACACGTGTTACAATTCCACAATCATTTACAGCAAACTAAATTTGAACAAAAGAAGCAACAAAGAGAAGAAATGCATTGTAACATAACGTAAAATAATTAAAGAAGGTCGGCTAACCAGTGTTTTAATAATGCTATGGAGTTTCCGAATGTATCCATATTATGATGAACAGAATTAACATAATTTCCGATTCGATTTATGCAACAGAAATAACCGTAATTAGTGCAATGTTGTTCAATACAAATTAGAGCGAAATTTCATACACAAGTTGAGGTTATGTTCGAAGAGAAAAGCTGGAATATTATCGGACAAGATATTGTGTCTCGCATTATTTTGCAAGCCTTCATTTGCGTTGGAGGTTTCCAAATAATTTCTCAAATTCCCAGTTTCTCGAATTTTCAAATTTTCAAATTTCCAATTTCCCAAATTCCAAAATTTCCAATTTCCCAATTTCTCCAATTTCCCTATTCTCCAAATTCCCAAATTCCCAAATTCCCAAATTCCCAAATTCCCAAATTTTCAGTCTCCCAAATTCCCAATTTCTCAAATTCCCAATTTTCCAAATTTCCAATTTCCCAAATTCCCAAATTCCCAAATTCCCAAATTTCCAATCTCCCAAATTTCCGAATTCCCAAATTCCCAAATTCCCAAATTCTTAAATTTCCAATCTCCCAAATTCCCAATTTCTCGAATTCCCAATTTTCAAAATTTCCAATCTCCCAAATTCTCAATTTCTCAAATTCCCAATTTCCCAAATTCCCAAATTCCCAAATTCCCAAATTCCCAAATTCCCAAATTCCCAAATTCCCAAATTCCCAAATTCCCAAATTCCCAAATTTCCAAATTCCCAAATTCCCAAATTCCTAAATTTCCCAAATTCCCAAATTCCTAAATTTCCAATCTCCCAAATTCCCAATTTCTCGAATTCTCAATTTCCACCCAAATTCCCAAATTCCTAAATTTCCCAAATTCCCAAATTCCTAAATTTCCAATCTCCCAAATTCCCAATTTCTCGAATTCCCAATTTTCAAAATTTCCAATCTCCCAAATTCTCAAATTCCCAAATTCCCAAATTCCCAAATTTCCAATCTCCCAAATTCTTAAATTTCCAATTTCCCAAATTCCCAAATTCCCAAATTCCCAAATTTCCAATCTCCCAAATTCCCAAATTTCCAATCTCCCAAATTTCCAAATTCCCTAATTCCTAAATTTCCAATCTCCCAAATTCCCAATTTCTCAAATTCCCAATTTCCCAAATTTCCAATCTCCCAAATTCCCAATCTCCCAATTTTCCAATCTCTCAACTTCCCAATCTCCCAAATTCCCACATTCCCAAATTTCCAATCTCTCAAATTTCCAAATTCAGAAATCACTAGATTCTTCATAGTCCTTAATTTCTAAGTTTTCAAAATTCCCTCAAACTCTCAAATTTCCACGTTTTCAAAATTCCTAAATTGTCCGGTTCTAAAATTCCTAAATTATCTAATTCCCAAATTCCTTAATTCTTAAACTTCCGAACTCCCACATTCCTAAATTACTCGCACAAATTCCTAAATCAACAAATTTTCCAAATCCCTAAATCTTCAAATCGTAAATTCCAAAATTCTCAAATTCCTAAATCAGAAGTCTCATATACAAAAATTCACTTCATTCTCTCGAAACCTTCAAATCAGCATCCCCAAACACGCTCAAACCTACCACAAAAAGCGCACCACTCTTGTTACAACTATAATTCCATTTCGATAAAACAAATACAATTATCTCGTTACTTACATCGAAGTCCTTTTATTCCCGGTATAGAAATCAGAGATAGAACGGAGCAATAGAAAAGTAAAGCTGCGAGATTTCGTTTATTTTATTTAATAACGTTATGAACAGAAATAAAAGGAACTCGATTCGTGATCGATATCAATCCCTTTATATCCCTATTGGTGAAGTAGTACGGAGTCTGCTCGACGTAAATCAAATTTGTCAGTTATATATATATGTATATATATATATACTGCGATTCTCCAGGTTCCAGGATGAAAAAAAATTTTCTCCAGTATCGAGCTTTTTAGCTTCGCCTGTCTATCGATTCCCTTTTAAAATGCACAAGTGCTCGTATATCGTTCGATAATAAATGCGAGGCAGGAGTGCTTTGAATCGCATCGAGGTCGGCAAAGCGTTCAAGATAGAAGGCAAACAATCTTATTGCCTGAAATTTTAATAGAGGAATTTCCATTACTAGCATACCACGACTCACCTAAAGTGGTCCCAGGAAAGCCACTGCCAAGCATGGGGACGGTAGTTCCTTCTGCAAACAAATTAGAGAAAAGAAATGTTACCAAAGTAAATGAACCCATTATTCGACACGCAACTATGTAATCGTTAACAAATAGTCACTTTTTACCGACATATTTCTCTCTGAAACGATCAATCATTATTGATTCCTTGTGCAAACTATTTTTCATGTAACAACGATTACGGAATTATAAGAGAGAATTATATTTGGTTTGATGTCCCCTTTATTGACCATATTTTATTACGTCAAACTTTCTCTTGTGGAAGAGTTTTTTAACTCTGCATAATGGTATTCGATAAGTATAGAAATATAACTTGAACGAAATCTGCTGGTTCAGAAGTTCGACAGTTTTCAAGAACTGTATAAGTTCAGAACTGTGTAAGATCATTTCGATTATGACAGAGTTGAAGATATCAGGGGTATCAAGGAGGGTTAAACTTTTTGGGACACTATTTTTAATCGTTTTTGTATAATCTTCTATTGTACCATTCTCTAATATTATTGTCTTTATAACATTCAATAAATACAAAAGAAATATGGCAATACTGAATGTTGAAATCTATTGGTCCAATAGTCACACATTAAAGTTTTAGTTTTAAAGAACATTAGCTTAGTAACTAGGGAATTTCACTACTTACAATTAGTAAAGCACATAGTGTCCTTGGTTCGCATTCATTAAAAGTGCCAATGGGTCAATGTCATTTCGGCGAAAAATTGTTGCCATAGAAATTCGCACATTCGAAGCATTAATTCAATGTTGCGAAAACGACCTCTTCCTCTGAACCAGTCTTTTGCAGGGTACCATGATTCCATTTTTTGAGTATGCGTACCCTCGCTGGCTAACAATTATTCAATTTCATTTAGTTAAAGTTTCATCGAAATTTCGCAGTAATCTAATTGAAATTCAAAGTAAATTATACTTGTCTACGAACGCTTTATCGTGATTAACACTCTTAGGTACATAGACTTTTGCATTGACTCCTATGTAACTACTGAAACAGACCGTGTGAATTTCACTGGCGATATTAACGTGTTCCTTTATAACTGGTAATATAGTGAACGCCTCACGGTTCTCGATTACTATCATACGACAGTTGCATGAGTTAATGTCGACCATCCTCAACACCCAATAACTGTTTATTTTTCTGTTCACTATAGTACTTCTTATGCTTATATTCTTTTATCAAATTGTTCTTCATCAAACTTTATAATCGCGTAAAAATCTGAGCTGTAACATTTTAATATTTTTACCAACATGTCTCTCTAGTTATCATTAATAAATGGTCACTAACGGGGACGCAGTCGCTAATGGGGACATTTACCGGATTAAAATTCATTGTTGTTCTTTCAAAAACAATTTATTAATTACACCAAAAGCTACGCACACCGCCTGAAATTTGCTCGAAATGACAAATTAATATTTAATAACTACTTAATAACACAATTTATTAAGTTGTACCATATTTCTGTCCACACTGACGCTTTCAGACCCAACCGTGTTATATTATACATTTTAGGTAGGCGGAGGACCCTGTATCTGTTACTCTGGGATGGAACGTGCTTAATTTGATACATATTACATGTCTGTGTATTTTCATGCAATATTTTGGTACGTATATAACACAGGAAATATTATACGAGCACTTTTGACAAATATCATAAGTTTCAGGGAAATATTAGGTTGTACCGTATCAAATAGCCAATTTGGGAAGAGGCAATTTGACACCATTTAATAGCTTCAGAGTAACGCATAATAGCAGTCGCGGCACACCAATTTGCAGTTTAAAGTTTGATGAGAATAACAATATAGACGTTTCGTGAATATTCTTCATACAAAATGGCTGACACTCCGTCCAAGTGAATAATGAATGTCTATTAATCAGTATCCAGTTTCCAACTTTCAAAGTATGATAAATTTACAGGGTGTTTCGAAATGTATACAAATTGCAAATTCTTTATACAATAAGAAATCGATAAATCCGTTATCATTTTTCGATATACGCTACTGAAAATGAAATATTACCTAGCGAATAATATTGACTGCAAACTGTAAATTAGTTAGTTCAGTGTTTGCTGTAATTAAGCTACTTTGTATTTGGAATATCGATGATAAGTTTACCTACTAATGTTTCACAAGTTTTATCCTTTAAATTAACATGCTACACGCAATATTTTTTTATACTTTCATATCATGCATTTAGGCCCTTAATGTTCTAAATTAACTGTTTCATACGAGATGAAATTCTATTGTCCACTAATATTGATATTTGGCTTGGATTAAAAATATTTTATATTACTTATTCTACTAAATATTTAATATTACTTATTTTTGTGAAACTCCTATTTATCACTACTAATAAAATGGAATAAACAATTGGTTACTAATAGGGCGTGATCGATAGCGAGTATATTTACGTTAATAATTGATTGGAGAGGTTTTTTTGCAGAAATAACATCGCATTATGGGAGAGTCGTATCCCTAAGGAAAACATCTTGCTGTTGTCGAGTACTCTAGGTCACTTTCTTAATGGTGTCTATCGGTAATGGGTAAAGCAAATACTGATCGAAAAGTTTGCAGACACCGATATGATGATGAGGTCCAAAAATATGAGAGGTCCATAAAAATTTTAAATTTCCAAATTTAGGAAGTCAGAAATTTAATAATTTAAGAATTTGGGGATTGAAACATGGAAATTTTTTATTTGAAAATTTCCTAAGTTGATAAATTGGTCGTTTGTATGGTCGATTTGGTAATTTTGTGATTTGAAAATTATTGTTAGGCATCTAAAAATTGAAATATATGTGAAATTAGAGAATTTGTAGATTTAAATGTTTGGCAATTTTGAGAATTTGTAAATTTATAAATTGTGAGTTTACACATTCAAGAATTGTAGATATGCAAATTTACAAATTGTGGAATTTTGATTTTCGCGAATTTTAAAATTTGAAACCTTTGAAGAATAGAAGAACGATAAAATATAAATTAATAAACTTAATTCCTTATCTAGATAAAAATCAACACAGACTTCAAGAAAAGCATCTTGATTTTGTAATTCAAAAGAGAGAAGTTGTGAATGAATCATATACACTCGATACTTTCAGTGTTAAAATCAACGACAATATTCTTCAAAGTAACGAGACGTTTCTTTCCCTGCATCGACTTCTTCCCTAGGGAAAGTTGTTCGTCAATGCACCCCGTAGAATCCTAATTGAAGCTCAATGTAAACTCATAGCAGAGAAATCAACTCGTTCAGAGTCACCTTCTGTAAATCAGAAACATGTCATAATCTGAGGGTATACTTTTTTCAGCGTGTTATTCTTATTCATTCAGTTGTAGATGATAATTATTCCCGATAAGAAGGCGAGGGTTGTAGCTTTATAGTGTTCAGTCACGATAAGTCAACGTAAATCGATACAGGGTATAAAGAAGCGAATAAAAAAAAAACGACTAGCTTAAATGTCGCAGGTGTTGGCCAGCTAAAAATTTCATGGCTACTGCTATTAATAACAGAGGACATTGTAATGATTCTATAGTTGGGGGTGATTTTGCGATAGAAAGGAAGATATTTTTGCTGAGGCTCTATTTTCAAAAGAATTTTTCTACCAAGAGATGTCAAAAGGCACCTTTCAAATTTTAACTTAAAATTATTCTCCAAGTTGAATCATTTCCCCACAATTATTTTCATACAATAGTTGAATTAATTCAGCGATATTTTCTTCCAGCTCGTCCAGATCTAAAAATGTGCACATGTTATACTTATTTCTACCAGTGCACATGGTATACTTATTTCTAACATGTGTCTTTTGACACCTTAATTTCATGACAGTCCCCAATTTTAAACCATTTTACATAGAAATATCAACACCATTTTGCAGCATCAATTATAATCAGATTAGAGAATCTCTTATTCAGTTATAACGGAAAATACAGGAGTTGCGGCATAACTTTGATATTCGCTTATTTCCCGCCATGTTGCATTTCAGCGTACACCGCCATATTAATATTTTGTAGATCGATGAATTAAGCTAGAATTTACAACCTGATAATCTCTAATAAAAACACATCAATGTATCAATAAATATATTCCTCAAATTATCTACATTTAACTGATAATTTGAAATCCCAATAGTTTTGGCAATTATTTGCATTCAATCGAAAAGGTGAGAGCTTTTGGTCGAGATAGGTATCGTGGTACGAATTACTATCGACTAACTAGTCTACAGGAATCTTTGAACAAGATAGAGTCCCAGTAAGTCTACTGTTAGACATTATTTCGGTTTCTCTTGAATCCCTTTCCTCGTTCTTTGTTGAAACTGGGAACGATTAGTTTCTTGCTTCGTTGGAATCGAAACTAATTAAAGTGAACTTAAAGTTTTATTAACTCTTGTAAATTAGAGCCAGCCCTTAGCCGACAAGTATACTTAACCCTTTGCACTCCTTAATTCCCTTTACCTACTGGCTCTTTAATTTACAAGATAGATCAAGAAAGGGTATGTATACTCAACCAGTTACAAATTACCTGAATTATTTATAAAAATGTGATGTCGAGCCACAGTCGACATAGCAGTGCAAAGGATTAACTCTTGTCAAAAAATAAAGGAACATTTGAGAGAAGGAGCTATATTCTAATGATAGAAATGTGAAACATATCTTATTTTTCTACATAGCCTGAACTTCAATGCACTTCTCCCAACGTTTCACAAGTTGATTCCATTGGAAAAAAAGTTTTTCGATTGCATCTGCAAACAATCAAAACTAACACTACCAAATCGATCAAATGACCGCTCCACAAGTTTCTTATTACAAAGTACACATTTTATTAAAGTGCACTCTTCGAAATTAGCATCGATTTTCAACAAGATAAGGAATAAATGTGTATATTAACTTATGTTTCATCGTTTGTTCATTTACTTTTTAACTTCATTTTTAATTTCAAATTAAGTACACATTATATGTCAGTAGGTTTAGTACTAAATCCCTTTACTTCTTGACTTCCCCTCCTATTTAAATACCACCTCATTTAATTATAATCCAGTGCAAAAAACCACCTGACGTATCTTAGCCCTACACCGTCAAAATCTAGTTACGAGACCTATTACTAACATCTCTAACACCCGGCGTTAGCCATACGTCGGCTATTTCACATATCACTTCCTGAACACCCGGCGTTAGCCATACGTAGGTTAGTCTCACGTCTTGACCTTCCTGTGGCATCCGTTAGCCATACGCCGGCTATTTCGCCATAGCCAACATCCTGGAACACCTGGAGCATAGGTTGGCTAGCTTCTACGTCTAAATCCTTTGGCGCTCAGGTTAATTAACACACCTGAGTTAGCCGACTAACAAATACCATAACCTATATACAGCATCCAGCCCTGCGGCTGTCTCCCTCCGGCTCGTGTATACTGTTTGTTGCCTATTGCACTACTGTTGTTATCACTGCCTGAGGCAATTTTACCATCTTACATTGATAATGGTTAAAGCGATACAAAGTGTTACAAATAACATACAAAGTGTTACAAATAACATACAAAGCGATAGAAAATAATATACGAAGCGATACGAAATACTACTAGCCGGTATACCCTCTTGGCAGGGTTAAAAATAAATATTCGATAAAGGAATAAGGTATTCGTTCGCGTGTTTTATTTTTGGAACGATAACATCAATCAGATTTACTTTTTGTTGCAAAGTGATATTCTAAAAACTGTTGCCCAAATTAGAATATTAGAAGCATACTATGATTAATTATGAAATTAATCATAATCATAGATGATTAATTTTTGAAGTCTGGCTGGTTGAATAACTTGTAACATATTTACTTTCGATAACAAAGTCTTCTCATTAATCTTGAAATCTTTCGACAAATTCTCTGTAGGAAAGCAGTCTTCTTTCTCGATTCACGTGATTAATACATGGTTTTCTTTTTTGCTATTAGATAATTATACCCATTGTTTCTCACTATTCTATGCCACCACGTTTCATTACTCTACGCGCCATTTCACAACTGATTTTCTTCCCACTTGCACGATAAATCTCTGAAGCTAATTTTACAGAACTACAATGTAGATTTTTTAAACTCTTGGTATTAATTTTTTTTCTTCTCTTCCATTCAGAACTCAACTTCCTTCCTTTTGTTAAATTCGCTGCAATTTTTCCTGTACCTTTTAATGTCCGGTACTGTTCTCTTACTAACTGTGCTTCTCTATAAATTCTACCCTTCAATCCACGGTAAATTACAAATTGCCTCCTATCGAAACTGGTATCTTTCTGCTTCGTTGCATGCTCAAATTTACTTGTTTACGTCGAAATACAAGCTTCCACTGAAGTAGAATTACATTTCAGACGTTTGCATACAAAACAAAGTTATCCCGCAGTACAAATGGCTTTTATCGTTAGCTTGTAGAAAGTGCAC